CTTTCTCTACCCACCACAAAGCAGAAACAACCATTAAAATATTTAAATTTTTTTATTTTTTATTTTTTTAAATAGTTTTTTTTACATAATAACACACACAAAAAAAACATTTATTTACTAACGGCAAGTGTTTGGATATTTAAAATTTTATTTTTTTTTAATTTTTATTTAATTTTTTTTTATTTTTTAAAAAAAAAAAATTAATTTTTTTTGTGAGAGGAGACCAATATTAATTTTTCCACATAGTATTTTCTCATTATAATTATTTACTCAGTAGTTAATATGTAAGTAACTCAATACTATCTATCCTTCATTATTTCTATATAGCTTTAGTTTTCTCTCTTATATATAAACCTCGCTCCTAAATGTCATATAAAAAAAAATTTTCAAATTTTTAAATTTAAAAAAAAAAAATACCACCGTTATTTATAATTTATAATTATATAGCTAAATTCTATTATTTATAATTATAAAAAAAAAAATAACTCCAAAAAATATTTATATCTCTATATTTTTATTTATTTCTAAATTTCCTTTATTTCTATGTATAAAATATAATAATTTATTCACATATAAAAAAAAAAAAAAAATAAAATAAAAAAAATAACAACAATAAAAATATTCTTATATCATTTATTCACGATATATCGTTCAATTTAATATTTAAATATATATATAATTTTCTCGTTTTTTTTTTTTTTTTTTTTTTTTTTAATTTATTTATTTAAAAAAAAAAACTATAACATTATTTATTTTTTTTTTCTTTTTGGGCAAAAAAAAAAAAAATTCATTTTTTTCCCGAATTTTTGGAATTTTTTTTTAACCAGGAAAAAATAAATAAATATAGTTATATAACAATATTTAAGGGGGGGAAAAAAAATTAATTTTAAAAATCGGCCCCCCCAACATTTTTTTAAAATTTTAAAAAATTTTTTTTTAAACATTTACAAATTTTTTTTTTAATCCTTTTTTCCAATCCAATTTCAAAAAAATTTTAATAGGTTTTAAAACCAAAAATTATTACCTTTAAAAAAAAAAAAGTTTTATTTAAAAACTTTTAAAAAGTTAAAAATAAAATTTTTTAATTTTTTTTAAAAAAACTACAAACAATAAAAGGAGCCCCCCAAAAGAATCAGGTTCATCTTCATCAGGTGAAGAAAAGAAAATAAAGAAAACTCCAGTCAAGAAGACCAAGAAAGATACAAAAACCAAAAAAGGAAAGAAAGACGGAAAGAAAGGTAAAAAGAAGGTCAAGGATGAAAATGCCCCACGTCGTTACCTCTCGCCATTTATCTTCTTCTCTAAAGAATATAGACCAACAATTAAAGCACAAAACCCAAGCAGTACTTTTGGTGAAATCGGTTCACTTTTAGGCCAAAAATGGGGTCAAATCAGCGCTGATGAAAAGAAGAAATATGAAAAAATGGCTCAGGAAGACAAAAAGAGATGGGAGATTGAAAAGAAACAATATGACGAAAAATTAAAGAGTCAACCAGCTGAATCATCATCTGACAGTTCTGATGAAAGTGATTAGACATACAACTCTCCTCACCAATCATTATAAAAAAAAAAAAAAAAAAAAAAAAGAAAAAAAAAAAAAAAAAGAAACATTTCAAATTTTTTATAAAATGTATTTTTTTTTTTAAATAAAAATTATAATTTCAATCCATCCATCAACAACGCTGTATCTATTTATTTTTCATCACCTCATTTCTATTTCAACCACCAAAAACTACAACAATCACCCACAACCCCCTTTCTCAAAATTTTTTTTTTAACTTAGACAAAAAAAAATATAAAAAAAAAATAAATATAAAAAAAAAATAAAAAAAATAAAAAAAATAATTTTTTAAAAAAAAAAAAGACTTATTTGTTTACATCTATTTTTATCATTATTTTGTTTTTCCAATCGGATCCAAAACCTGCATGATAAATAAACCTGCGCTATATCTTGGGATAATTTTAAATTAAAAATTTCTTTTAATTTTTATTTTTTTATTTTTTAATTTTTTTTTCAAAAAAAAAAGTGTTAATATAATTTTTTTTTCTTTTATTTTATTTTTTATAAACAATTAACACATTTCAAAGCTTTAGGGTAATATCATTCCGTTTTTATTTTACTATAAATTATATATTTTTTTTTTTTATATATTTAATTAACATGGGCAGGGTTCAAATAAAACAATTAAATAACTATATTCACCATTTCAAAAGACAAATTAGAACCACTGATTTAAATTGTGGATCTAATTTGGATCATACAGCTGTTATTAAAATGGTTCATGGTATGTAGTTTAATATTTAATTAAAAAAAAAAATAAAAAATTAGATAAATAAAAATAATTTTATAGATATTAATATTAAAGTTTTCTATAGATGCAAGAGCAGAGTGTTTTAGAAATTTAGGATTTTCAGAAAAAAATTTATTACCAAATTCAGATATGGTTTCAATTGTAGTTGGTGATCTTCAAGCACAATATTTAAATGATGGCCAATTATTCGAAGATTTAATTATAGAAACTGATTTTATTGAAAGAAGTAATTGTGGTTTTAGAATGACTCATAGAATAAAATCTATTCAACCATTTGGATCACCCGATTTAACAGAAAGGGATTTTAATTCAAATAATAATAGTAATGATAAAAACCATAAAATTAATGCATCGGGTGCAACATTTAAAAATATAGCATTAGTCGAGGTTGGCATTATCGCAGTATCACCAATCACCAAAAAACCTGTTCAGTTACCCGATTCATTTTTCAAATTGCTTGGTTTAAAAAAACCAGAAGTTGCACCAATTCCATCATCAAATAAATTATAAAAATAAAATAAGTAAATAAAATGTAAAATAAAAGAATCAAAATAATATAAACATATAGTTTTGATTAAACTATCATTATCTATATTTCATCTTTATATTCATTTATACTGCTTTTGTATGAACATATATATACATTTATAATCACATATGGTTTTTAAATTACTCTTTTTTTTTTTGGTTTTTTTTTTTTTGGTTTTTTCATTTATTTTTCTGACACCAATTCAAATAAAATTTTTTTGATTTTTATAAAATTTTTTTTTTTATTTTTTTTAAATAATTTTTTATTTGTTGAAAAATCATACTAAAAAAAAAAAGCTCATTATACCAATTGTAATTTTAGTTATTTTGTTTTGTATTTGTTTAAAAGTTTAATTTGCATTGTTATTGTTGTTTTTGTTGGTTTTAAAGTTGTTTGATTTTTATTGTAAATATATATATATTTATATATACATATATATAAATATATTAATAAAAGTAAATGGCAAATAAATTATATAAAATTGGTTTAATAAGACCTTTTTTTTCCTCCTCATCATTATTATCAAATAGTTACAGAGTTGGTGGTTGTAATAGCGCATTTAGATATTTAACATCAATTAATCAAAATGAAAATAATAGTTCAATAAATAATGAAGGTGTCAATCATAATAATAATAATAAAACTACAAATATAAATATATCAAATGTTACATTAGAGTTATTCCAACCAAAAATATCAGTTGTAAATATACTATCTAAAATGAAATATTTTTTTTATTATAGCAATAATAATTTACTAATTTTTGCAATTTTTTAATTATAATTATAATTATATTTATATTTATATTTATATTTATATTTATATTTATATTTTTATATCAATTTTAGGTTGGGGTTGGAGGTGGTGGCGGTAATGCTATTAATCATATGATATCAAATGATTTAAATGGTGTTAAGTTTTATGTATGTAATACAGATCACCAAGATTTAATTAAATCAAAAAGTATAAATAAAATTCAGTTGGGACCAGAGCTAACAAGAGGACATGGTGCAGGTGCAAATCCAAGTAAAGGTAGATTAGCAGCTGAGGAGAGCAAGAATCAAATAATTCATTCATTTGGTGATTCAGATTTATTATTTTTAGCAGCTGGTTTAGGTGGTGGTACAGGCACTGGATCTTCACCAATTATTGCAAAAACAATCAAAGAGCATAAAAAAGATACAATTATTGTTGGTGTTGTAACAGTGTAAATATTATAGTTATTATTTGAATAGTAAAAAAATTTATTAACTTTTTTTTTTTCACAAAAAAAAATATTTAGGCCATTTAAATTTGAGGGTAAAAGAAAAGAAATTATAGCAAAAGAAGGTTTGGAAGAATTAAGTAAATATGTAGATACATTGGTTGTAATATCAAACCAAAATTTATTGGATAATACAGATGAGTCGATACAATTAGATCAAGCATTTTTAATGGTCGATGACATTCTTCATACAGGCATTAGATCCATTACAAATATTATTAATGTACCAGGTATGATAAATTTAGATTATAGCGATATTGCAAATATTTTAACAAATAGAAAAGGTTTATCAAGAATGGGTTTTGGTGAGGCTTCAGGTGAAGATAGAGCCTATAAAGCAGTCCACAAGGCAATGAAAAACCCTCTCATCGAAAAAGATGATCACAAATTCACTGGGTTACTTGTAAATATTAGTGGTGGTAATGATATTACACTTAAAGAAATTAGTAAAGCAACTTTATATCTTCAACAACATGCAGATCCAGATGTTCAAATTTTTATAGGCCATAATGTTGATAATTCTTTATTGGGTAAAATAAGAATCTCTTGTTTATTTGTACATTAAAATAAAATATAAATATAAATAAATAAAAAATAAAAAATTTAAATACTTATAATTAGTTTTAATTATAAAGAAATACTTTTAAAACAAAAAATTTAATAGTTTATTTGGAATCATCTCTGGAGCCACTGTTTGTATTAGGTTTCAAATTATTGACCCATTTGATTTGGATTTTGAAATATTTAGTATCTTAGTTTATTATTTATCCTCAATATGGTATAACATTATCATATTACTGACTATATACAAATTAAAAAAATTAAGAAAATTGGTCTTTTAAGTTATTGAATGAAATGTTTTTTATTTATAAAAATTTAATTAAACAATTTTATTTTCTCTTTAAGAGTTTTATGTTAATTTTTTCATATTTAATCTATTTTCAGCCTTTTCAAAGAATTTATCACCAGCATCATCAAAGTAAATATATATTGTTTTTCCATCAAATTCATGGAGTTTATCTTCTGAGATTACAATACCACCTTCAGTGAGCCAAATACCAGTTGCTTTTAAAAAAAAAATGCAGAAAATTAATATATATATATATATATATATACGATAAAAATATTAAATTATAATAACTTACCTGCTGGTTTCATAATAGCTAAATACATTTTTTTTCCTGTCTTGAACTCAGCTCTTTTATTATCAAATTTTATTGCAGGATTAGTACGTGCAACTTTGCCAGTGCTATCACCGCATTTAACTTCAGTCCATTCTTCAACGTCTTTATCTTGGTAAATTCTAACAGCTCTATAAATAAAATATTAATATATTTTTTTAAAATAAAATAAAATAAATAGTATTTAACCCAAACTTACTTATTCCAACTTTTTCCCTATTAAAAAAAAAAAATTTTTAAAATTTATTTTTTAATTAAAGTTTTATTTTTTTACTTACCTGGTTTACAATAACAACTCTACAACCTCCTTTTGGTACATCTGGTTTATTGGAATAAACAATGTAATGCTTATCATCTTTATTACCTATTGTTTGAATCAATGTAAGACCAGCAGCAGTTATTATAGCAGAATCTAAAATAACTGCACCAACCAAAGATACTAAATATAAAATAAAATAAAAATTAAAATTTAAAAAAAATTTAAACTGATTAGTAGTACATACTAGCATAAGAAGCCATTTTTATTTGTTTTTTATTTATTTAAAATTTATAAAATTTAATATTAATTTGGATGAATAAAAAAAAAAAATTTTGCTCTTTTTATATTTTTTTTTACCAAATCTTTAAAAAAATAATCAAATTTGCTGTAAAAAATTCTATTAAAATATTTTTTGTGTTTTTCTTATTAATTGCATTTTGACACCAAGAAAATCCTTGTTAAATTTTTTTTTTTGTAAAATTTGAATCTTTTTTTAAAGTTATATCCAATCGAAATCAATTTGAAAAAAAATATAAAAAATCAAAAAATCTTTTTTTAAAAAATTTGGGGTTTACGAGAGGAAAAAATTATGAAAAACAGGTTTTACTAATTACAAAAAGTATAAAAAAACAATTGGTCTAACAATTGATATAATAAATTTGTTTAAAAGTTTTTTTAAATAATAATATTATATTTTTAAATCATAATTTGTTAAATTAAAAATTTTTCCTCTTATTTTTTTTCAAAATCATATTTTTTTAATTACAAAGTCAACTAGGAGCATTCCATTCAAATCATCAAAACCAATCATTTAAGGTGATGCGTTAAAAATGAAAATGAAAATTTATAAAAAAAAAATTTAATAAAAAAAGCCGTTTTCAACATCTGGGTTATAATAATATTTGTTAATTAAAAATTGATGAGCTAATAATTTGCAAATGGATTTCAAACATTTAAAAAATGATCAACCAAATTTCTCTGTTGTGGTGGCGTTTTACGGAGGAGTGTAATATAATTTATTTATTTATGTTTATTCATATTATTTTTTTTATAATTTAAAAAAAATATTCTTGAAAAAAAGAAAAAAGGTTATACTGATGTATTTTTTAATAAATAGTTTGGATTAACATTATTTTTTCGTGTTGTAAAAGTATTTGATTAAAAATATAACACTTTTTTTAATATAAAAAAAAAAAAAAAAAAAAAATTTTCAAAATTAAAAAAACGTTTATTATTTTTTACATTTTTTTTTTTTTATGAAAAATATTTTAAAAAATAAAAAATTTCCCATAATCCAACCACATTTACAATATAATGAAATGAAAAAATATTTTGTTAATCCAACTTCAGAAGACCATCTGATTTAATATGTCGCACAATGTTGAGCCGGAGTCCTAAAAAGGAGAAACTGGTCGATGAAGACATCTGTTGATTTTTTCAGT